GACAACCGATACATCTTGCTCAACGAACAATACAGGTCAGCACTCCCCATCACTACATTGGCCCATCCTGAATTTTATGAACAACCAGTTGAAATAGAGCCAGTGGACGACGACCATCTACTCGGTTTCCTGATCGATCCCCTCAACAGAACCGTCAGCTTCCAACTCCCCACCCATCCCTGGCAGATTCGTGATCCGCAGTCAGCAGGAAGCCACAGGCTACGCCTTTCAGGCTTACAATCACGCCACCACACTTTACAAAAATACACATTTCCACCACATCTAGTACCCACAACAGCACAACAGTTGATGCAGCTCTATATGACCAAAGGTCATTCCAAAGAACACTGCGCCGCGGCGCTGCGGCCACGAAGAGAAAAAAGACTATGCGCCAGTATTTTGCAGACTGTCGTTGGGTACATTTCACACTATTGAACTTATTCGCTGTCCAGCCCTTCCAATATTTATTATCCAGGTACCGCCTGATCCGATCTAGTTGCGCCGATACGGCTCTGTGTGTGTGTCCACTCCTGTTTCCAAGGACACTACTCTAGTACTTTTCTAATCTACCCTACGAGCCTTTCAACCACTGTACAGAAGCAGGGGGCACGGCGGCCGTTCACCTAGCCGTGCTAACAAAGCTATGGTGTTCGGTTGGAAGAGATACTGGACGCAGTATCTTGTACCTGCTATTTTTAATTTTTCACTCATTGATGCTTCTAAGTCAGTTCAACGCTGTCTCATACGTTGATTTTGCAATAAAGTGCTAATGCTCTCGGCTAATGCTGTACCTAAATGTAAAGGGCTAATGCACACCGCGAAGCAGCCTGAAATCACGCTCCACGGAGCAACCTTCTCAAGTGTGTGTGTGTGTGCAAATGGTCCAATGTTCTTTCGACCTGCATGTGGTTCAAGTTAGAGCTAGCTCGCTGAGTTCCAGGTCTGATTGAAGCCCTAAACATGCTGCCTAAACTGCAAATCGTTGAATACTTATTTCCAGCGACCAACGCACCCCGAGGATTCAAGAACCCTCGCGAGTGTTGGGCACTGACATCCTTTCCCGCAACCATGCCCAGGGATTCTGGTGTAAATCCTGGAGCTGTGCTCCATTGCCCGGCCCTCCCTTTAGGAGAAGACGGGGCTTGCAGTGCCACATCTTTGCTTCAATGTTCAGCAGGTTCTTGCAGAATTTCGGATGCAGCAGTGCAGAACCGGCGCCCACCGTCAACTCAAAAGCTTCCCACTCAAGTCTCTTCTTCACCAGCAGCCGCCAAAATCCTTATCTCCACACCCCAGGCGGAAACATACAGTATGTCGACATGCACGGTTCCCAACAGCGTTACTGTATATATAACCAAGCTGAACTCCCCAAGCGCCTTCATGGTGCAACCGGTGCAACCTACAAGGCCTAACTTAAAACCGAAGCTAGGTGCGGGTTTCACCAAACTCTGACAGTGAGAACTCATTGACCCAAAAGCCATCATGGCTTTGAACGTAAAAGTCACCCAATGAGCGATGAGGCGGTGCAAAGCACACTGAGTGTGCAAACGGAGGCAGTGGATGCGGGTGCCAAGGGTCCAAGCACATCGTCACGGTGTGAATATCGTGACAAAAGCAAGGTAACGCGAAGACGGAAGATCCAAGTCTCTTTTGCAGCTTGTCCTTGCTTACATAGCCGGTGCCCTTACGGTCCTCTCAATTGAGTCGCATATGCAAAGGAGCAAACAAATTGCTAAATGTTGCTGGACTGCGATGATAACTAGCAGCCCTTTGACAAATTGAACGCATCAAAAGGGCCAGATCATGCTGAAGCTACTGCAGTCACGAACATCAAGTCCCAAAGCCTTGTTGTCTCTAAGTTCTCATCGCTATTGGTTAGGTTCCTCAAAGTATGTTTCATATTTTTCTTATCGTTGTTTTAAACATATACACTCATTTTGTGGCAAGCAAAGTTCGGCGTCGCCCAGCATCCTTGCAACGGCTGCTGGTTGAAGTGCGTCGGCCGTCCGCCGCCTGAGCTTTTTCCGGGACTTCGTCCTCTTCTTCCTGGGCGTTGTTGAGCCAGGAATCAATAATGGTCACAGCTTCAACAGCGAGAAAACTTGGAAACTCAGAGAGGAGCCTCATCATCCACCTTTGAGAGGATATCCATCATGGCGGCCTTCCAGTGAAAAGGACGTTTCTTGATGTTTCTTGGCTTTTGTGAACTCATAATGTTTACAATATTTTACAATAGCAACGTCAATCAAAGGCATGCAACTGTTGAACCATGCAGCCCTCTTCAAAGTGTATTCGTCTGCTCGCACATGTCACACACGTGCAGCGTTCGACGCACTGTCCCTCGCAATGAAGTAAAGTTTCCCAAACAATCTAGGGAGCAAAATCCAAATCATCAAGTCTGAGCCCTTCCGCGCCCAAGCCTAGTAGCGCCGACAGGTAGCCTACGAGTAGCTACTCCCTGCTTCTCACCTAAGCTACCTCCTCTCAGCCTGCCCTTCTCCTCCCTTGTGGCTTAAAGAGAGAAACAAGAAGACAAAAGAAAACACACGCCTTGGTGATAAATCCTGTGCCCTTGCGCTTGGAGCTGTGTTTCGCTCCTGGGGTTTCTTTGGAGTTCACCCGGACGATAGCCTTCCTCGGCCAAAAGAGCAAGAATGCTTTGGAAGGCTCTGGAACAAACAACTATTGTTGTTCTTTTGTTCGCTTTTTCTGGTAGGTCTCGTTTCCTTGCAATCCATTCTTTCTTCAAGGTCACGGCTTTCCTGTGACTGTCTCTGGCTTCCAAGCTGCTCCACATCATGCTCTGACACGTACTTGTCATCCTTTTGCGGTTCGTCATCCTAAGAGTGAAGCAAAATCAGGCTGAAGGTGATCCTATCTTACATCGTTGCCTGCATTCATTCGTTCGTGATACCTGCGATATCCTGCTATACAATACACTTTGACATGTCAAAAGACTACAACTTGCACTTGTCAGAACTTGCCCGGCCTGTGGCCTCTGACAATGTATGGCCAGACTACAGAGCCAACCAAAGTCACATAATGTCGCACTCACATTCTTAGCTTCAAAAAGTTTCCAACACTGGGCCAGGAGTCCATCAATATGGTTTCGATCACGTCCAAGTTAATCATGACCTCGCCCTTCTTATCGTTCGATGGCTTAGAGACTTGCCGGCCATTCTCCAGCTTGTTGGCGAACTCCTCTGCTGTGACCTCACGAACGTAGGGATGACCAATGGAGGGAACACACATGATGAGTGCAAACACGTGCAATCTGTGTCAATATCAAGAGGTTGTCACTTCCTAAAGGATCTTGAAGGCTAGTCAAGTTGGGCGCAACTTGTGCAACATGGATGCGGTCACCATACTATCACTTACCTAATGCAACCAACGGATGGACATCGCATAGAGTTCAGATACAGCCTGGATACACATTTGATACAAGGGCACAACGAGGCACGTGCGCACAACCGAGAATGTCTGATGGGCCGAGCCACGAAGGTTTCCCCCTCCGAGTGTCCACAATTGGTGCAAATGCAAATCCCCATCGCCGGATCCTCTCGGCGTTGCCGTCCGGTTCTTCTTCTCTGTGCTTCTTCCTCCAAGGCCACAAGCCCAAACTTGAGCCCAGGATCTGGCGGTTGGTCAGTGTTGGCAGGATCTGGATGCTTCGATACAATCTCGCACTTTGGAGCCAATCCGCAGTAATCATAATATGATTTTGTCTAAAATTCAACTGCCCCCCAAGCATGCAGCTTGATTTCTCGGTGTTTGCCATTCCGGCTATCCACAGCTCCTTTCCGAGCAGAAGGGCAAACGGGTGGCTGGATCTCCAGAACACCCATCTTGATGAAAAGGATCTTGTTCTCGACGGAAGGCATGCAAAACCATCAGCAAAGACAACACATGTGTCACTTTGGGCACAGAAACGGTCATTAAGCAATTAAGCAGCTAAGCATCTGACAGTTTTTAGTAGTTCTGCCCACACTTCGAGAGATTTGCATCCGACAACTTTGGCCGTTGCACGCGTGCCACCCTCGGCAGCTTGCACGTGGCATTGACACTAAGGCATGGGCCAAAGAAAATTTGCAACCCCCTTGCTTGCTGAAGCCAATCCCCATGTTTGTGATGGTTTTCAGCCCCCGCTGTTTGAGTGTGCCCAGCTCAGAGCGCCCAGGCCGTGCCCTCAGCTCTTGGCTTTACAACTCTTGGCCGCTTGCAGCCGCCGTTCCCATTCTGCCGATCGCTGGCCGAAGAGCTGTCGAGCGATATCTGTCGCCTGAGCACCTCGGGGGTTCGACGGAAACGCCGTTAACCAGCATAGCCTCAAATCCTGCCCTGAAGGCCAAAGGACAACAAAGTCTAATTACTGTAAATCCAAAATGCTCCAAAGACCTCTAAAGTGAGTTTTCCAAAATGCTCTATCCGGTCTGCCTTTTCCCTATGCATCAGGCCTGGACCTTTTCTTAGTGCGTTTTGATCATCCATTGCACGTATTGGGGCCCCGTGAAATCCCTGTGCAGCAGGTTGCCTCAAGGCTGACACTGTGATTTGTTCTCTAAGCTTTGAACGGTAGTGAGCCACCAAAGCCTGCTTTAGAATGGGATCCGCAGCAGGACCACGAGGAAAATCGGCAAGCCTGAAGTGCGAGAGAAAGCAAAAGAATGGAGAGTGGATTGGAGCACCTAATTAGCAAAGGTGACATCACAAGCAAATACAGGTGCTTGCAGCTTGCCGCTCAAGCATTCTCAAACTCAAACCTAGCAGCGAAGGACCAGCGGTGGCCATCATTGCAGCATACCAAACATCCCTGGTAGCTAGGAGGTGCTGGAAACAAACCTTGCGCAAACCTTGGGCGCCGGAATGGAATTGGCAACACGAGGCAACGCACATTTCCAAATGTTAATACGTCAATGGATTGATAGCTATGGCTTTATCGCGAGATATGTGATTGATATGCTTTGTATTATTGATTTGTACTTTGATGCGGGCATTTCTGATCCGTCCAAACCTGCTCAATCCAATAGGATGCCATAAGCCATGGAACTTTGTGCACACGGCCTAGCATGAATCCAAAGACCTCGCTCTAAATCCACGGCCATCTGCGGCCATGACCATTTGGCACCTCAGTCTCCGGACGACGGCATTGGTACGACACTCACACAACGCCTTGGATCGCCTTGGTTTCTCCAAAACGCCCAGCCCTCAGCTTGCATTCTCCAATTGTCTTGAGCGAATGCAGCATGACCTGCCAAGGCACAGCCATGGAAGAAACACAAGCTTGCAGCCGGAGAAACCTGTTGAAGATTACCACCTCATGACGCATACGCTCAAAGCCGGCAACATGTGACCTGTGACCGTAAACGGTTCTTCTTGTTTGTCTTTCCTGCTGTCTTGAGATGAGCGAGTGTGCTCTTGTTCTTGAATCCGTGAATGCAACACGCGTGAGAGCGCGAGTCAGGAGTGAACGACTTAGCTGAAGAATCAGGAAATTGATCGCGCCACAGTAGCCAGCTCAAAACCTCTGAGACCTCTGAGGCCAAGGAAACTGCAGTTACTTCCAGTAGCTGAAATACATATTTCCTGACTCACATGTCCCTCTAACCGGAAGCCACTTCCGCCCAGCAACGAAGCAAAATGCTTGATGCAAGCTTGATTGAGCCAGGTACATCATCAGAGTCATGTATCCAGTACAAGCCTTAGCTTCTAATTCATTCAACTTCAAGGCTTCCATCAAAGCCTTGATAAGCACTCATTGACCTCGAGAAAGCATGAACTGACAACCAACCTGCGACCATGACCTTGACACACACGTATTAACTTATAGATAAAGGCTCGCAAGAACAGTGTCAGGTGCGATATCCCCGAGAGCTAGTGACTGATTGCATTAGACCTTGGCTCGCAGGAACAGCAAGGGAAGGGTCGGCTCACTTGCATTGTTTGCAACAAACGCGTTAGCCCTTACCGCATAAGGAAGGTGAATAGGTCCGAAACAATATCGTTTACCTCTCTTAATTAAACATTAGGAGAGCGGGTGGTCATGGGGCCTGGGTTTTGGTTTTCCCAAAACTTTAGGTAAATGCTTCAGTGGCAGCCCCTCTCCATATAAACACACATATAATCTATTCCTGCTCTCTCTATATGAACAAATATATTATGTTTTCCTGAGTCAGGGTCATTTTATTGTTTTGGAAGCAGCAATCAGTCATTCAGATGGTTTTGAAACAAGATAATTAGGAAAAGAAACAGGCCATAAAAGTGTTTATTTTAACAATTGTCCTCTAGATCTCTGCTTATCGTTATGTTTAGATTTGGAACGATTGTATATAGACGCGTTATGTTATAAAAGATTCTCTATAGGTCTCTGCAGATAATCATTTTTAGATTTAAGCAACTATATAGAAACCTTGTATGTTAAAAGCTTTCTTCTAGACTAGATGTTTGCGGGTAAGAGCTTGCATTTTCAAAGTTTTCCTCTGGATCTCTGGCAAAGTAGATGTCCCATATATGTGTGTTTTCATGAAAGGAAAGTTCTTGAAAGAAAAACGTATTCATTGATATATAGCACGCTTAAATTGACATGACCATGTCCAGAGATCCAGAGGAAAGCTTTTGACATGAAAGCGTTTATATATGTTTGTTGTAGAAATGATCATCCCCAGAGATTTAGAGGGAAGCTCTTGAATTAGAAGCTTGTACATAAAACTTTTTTAATATGTCTATATGATCTCGAGTGATTACTGTAAATAAATATATCTAACTATTTACTCCAAAAAAGGTGTTTTAGTCTTGTTCCCAGCACTCCCAGGGCAAAAAATACTGTAAAACAGGTGGTTTTGTAGCATGTGTTTTCTTAAACTAAATAGACTAGAGCTAGAATAGAATTAGGTATAGTTAAATTGGATTTGAGTTAGGGCTAAGATAGAACTGAGTTAAAACCGAATTTCAACCAAACTTGTATTGAACTATAAGTATAACCTATTTAAAATTAGAAAGTTGAATTAGAAAGGAATTGGAATTAAACTTAGAAGTTCGCCAGAATAAGATGTAAAACGCTTGAGCTACAAGATGCACAAGTCGAATAGGCTTCGAAATTACAAAGCCGAAGCAAATGCAACAAACATTGAATTAGAACTACAGCCTGCGCAGGTTCAAAACAGTTTCATGTAAATTGGAAGGTGTCATTACAGTTTCATGTCAAGCTGATTGGACATGCAATTGGCAACCACATTGATACCAATCAGACGTTAACGCACAGACTTGTACATGGAGATTTCGACAAGGACAAAGGGAGTGTTGGGCTCAGAGGCTTTCACTGTAAGAGCAAAGAACATATGCCTTTAGGTGAGACTTAGGCTCACATGCTTGAAGGTTGAACGAAATAGTAATAACACAGGTTGACCTAAATAGGAAAACCAATAACCAAAAAAACAAAACACTTGGGGAAACCAAAAACAATTCTGGGGAAGTCTTGAGGAAAGGGGGGGTCCAGCCAAGAGTCTCTGAGAATTGCTTTTTGTTTTCCCAAGTTTTTGTGTGTTTTTCCTATATATATATATATAGGTTGTGATTGGCTTTCCCAAGGTTTTGTTGTTTTTTTGTTGTTTTTTTCTAAGTGTTTGTTCTTTACTGCACATTATTCAATGTGTTTTTTGTAGTTTTGGTTGTATTTGTTTTTTGGTTTTGATTGTATTTGTGAAAAGTTGTCTACAAATACAGAAAACCAAAAACCCAGGCCCCATGGCCACCCCTTCTGAAACGCGCAAGTACGTTTACACCCAGGTGGGGGGTGTCTTCGTTGGCCGGAGACCCCCCGCCTGGCTCCGGCCCTGTACAATGATGAAAAGAACAGTCAATCGAATTAAATCGTTGCATTCCTTAGCGTGGTCGAGTTACTTAGAGACTGGAGTTCACACACACACAGAAAGCCGTCTTTCGGCGCACTCTGATTGGGCGGGGGTGATAACGCAAAGAAAATGGGACTGTCCTGCTCGGGGTTTCAAGGGAGGGGGTGGGTCCGTGGACGTTGATTTTTGGGAGTATAGCTGGGCAAGGTGAACGAGCGCCCGTTCAGCTGCCGAGGCCGGGTACGTGTAGTTGCAGATGAGGTGGGCACTGGAGTTGAGACCCGAAAGTCGTAGTCGTTGTGAACCAGCTGAAGCCCCCTGCTGACTGTACAAGGTATCGCACTGATTAGGGAGACCTCTATTGTGAATTAGAATGCTGTGCCTTTTTCCTTGGAGACAGGAAGTGACACACAGTGACACACACAAAAAGCCGTGATCGGCGCACCCTGAAATGAAAGAAAAGTTCAAACGCATGCAGCAAGTGGCATGGGGGTTCACAGTGAAATGAACAAGGACACGCGTGCACGCGATCAACTCTCATGCACAGAACGGGAAACGGGTCCAAAGATCAAATGGTATGCTCGGCTGCTGATTTTCCACCAATCAGTCGCAAGAACCGAACAGGAGTGTGTGGGGTGTGATGGTGCGGTGGAAGGCTTGTCACTGTGGCTTGCTGGCCTGCTAAGTCGTGAAAAAGCTGGAAGTGAGGCAAACGCAAACTTAACTGGCCACGGAAGTAGCTGTCAGGCGAGCAGAACAGTGCAACAGTGCTACGCCAATCTACGCAAAATGGTGGAGTCAACCGAAGGGGTAACAGCGGTCAAACTGACATTTCCACGGCTTGGATGAAGCACTCTCATCTCATTTGGTTGGAAGAACAGAATATCGAAATGAAAAAAGTGTTTGCGATTGTCGATTGTTGTCATTGCTAGGTTGAGATTGTTGGAGAGGAGCGGCTGAAGTGATGCCGGAGGCGCTTGCATGCTTGCTGGCTTCCGTGCATGGTGGAAGGCTTGCTGGCTTGCTGAGTCGTGAGCTGGAAGTGAGGCGCGCGTGCAATCTTAATTGACTGGCTGCGGAAATAATGCACGCAAAATGGTGGTTGATATCCAACCGAACCGGAGTAATAGCGGTCAAACTGACATGTCCCCAGCTCGAAGGGGTATAGCGGGACTGGCGCCGCGACGATGTCCGAGTACGGGCCATGTGGGTTGACTCGGCAGGACTGCGCCCGAGAGGAGTGGGAGTCTCTGGCTTGTCGTCGAGCATCTCTTCCCAACGCGCTTTGCATTGTCCTGGCGTACACTTCAGTTTCTTGGCGACAACTGCCAGTTTGGGCGCAGTTTCGGCGAGCGCGTTGTCGCTTGGTGGGCGGTGGTGCCGGAGGGGCAGAGGAGTCACTGTCTGACGATGAATGGGGCAACTCTGCTACAATCCGTGCTTTGGAAGTGGGGTGTCCTCCTCGTCCTCGTCCTCGTCGCTAGTCGAAGGCAAGAATTGATGACCCGGTTGGTCGAGGTGGACTGCCGAAGCTTGGTGGTGGAATGGGTATTGGAGCTGGCGAAGTGAGTAGGTGGATGACCATGCAAAATTCGTGTAGATCTCGTCCAAGGATCTGGCGGGCTGACGAAGAGAGCTGGCAATCTGCACGTTGCTCGCGCGGACAGGCCATGAGAGAAGGTAGGGGTCAACGATGGCGGTGGAGAAGGCGTTCTCCGTCAGGTTCTCCACCGCTCAGGAACTTCTTGCCCGCCCCGAAAGCCATGAGATGTAGAAAAACAATAGCTTTGTTTTTGTTGACGAGATGGGTTTTGGCAAGGACACGTGCTGTGTTCCATCGTTCGTAGTCGACCTCGCCCGTAGTCTCATGGCCTGGCCACCAGGACAGTGCCACGCCCCCTGCTGACTGCACAAGGTATCGCAATGATTAGATAGACCTCGATTGAGAACGCTGTGGTCTTTTTTCCTTGGAGATAGGTAGTGACACACACACAAAAAGCCGTAATCGGCGCACCCTGAAATGAACGAGGACACGCATGCATGCTATATAAACTCTCATGCACACAACGTGAAATGGGTTTGCTCAGCCGCTGGTTTTCTGCCAATCAGTCGCAAGAACCGAACCGGTGTGTGTGTGGCGTGATGGTGTGGCGGAAGACTTGTCAGTGTGGGGGAAATCTTGCTGGCTTGCTGAGTCGTGACAGGGCTGGAAATGAGGCGCGCGCAATCTTAATTAACTGGCCGCGGAAGTAGCTGTCAGGCGACATGGCAGAACAGTGCTACACCAATCTACGCAAAAATGGTGGAGTCAACCGAACCGGAGTAACAGCGGTCAAAATGACATGTCCCCAGCTTGAAGGAAGCACACTGGAAGATGCTAGGTTCAGATTGTTGGAGAGTCGGAGAGGAGCGGCTGAAGTGATGCCGGAGGCGCTTGCATGTTGGCTGGCTTCCGTGCGTGGTGGAAGGCTTGCTGAGTCGTGAGCTGGAAGTGAGGTGCGCGCGCAGTTTTAATTGACTGGCCGCGGAAGCAGCTGTCAGGACAGTGCCACGCCAATCCACGCAAAATGGTGGTTTATACCTGCCCGAACCGGAGCAACAGCAGTCAAACTGACATGTCCCCGGCTCGAAGGAGGCACTCTTAGCTCACTGGTTGGAAACACAGAATATCAAATGAAACAAGAGTTGAAACAAGTGTCTGCGATGGTCGTTGTAAGTGCTAGGTTGAGATTGTTGGAGAGGAGCGGCAGAAGTGATGCCGGAGGTGCTTGCGTGCCCCTGCTGACTGCACAAGGTATCGCAGTGATTAGGTAGACCTCTATCGTGAATTAGAATGCTGTGGTCTTTCTCC